AGCCTATAATGTGCAAGTGGCTTTCTCCTATCTCAGCTCATAAGACAGGKAATAACAATTCCAAGTAAGTCAGTGTTTGATKCATCACCTCACTCTCTTCCCAAAGAGACTGCATCTGGCCAACGAACCTCCACTTATGATGCTAAGTTKCAGTGCAATGCAACTTGAAAAGCTACCTATGGTAAACAAAATCAATCACAGCGAACTACTACAGACTCACAGAAATTGTCGTGAGGTGCAAAGCCCTCCAAGAGGAAAGCACTCACTTTCTTGGAGCCTCTTCAGTGCTGTAACTTCAAGCTTAACATTTCAGTAAAGACCAAGGTTGCTCTGAGTTTTGAGAAAAAATGATTAGCAACAAATTCAAGGGCTGCTTGAATGAAGCAAGTCATTGAAGACCAGAGTTGGAAAAAATAACATTGTTTTGTCTCTTTCCCCATTCTTCTAGCTGCCGTGATCAGTAGACATATTGGGTAAGAGGGATCCTGGGAGTGGCAGTCGACAGGGATAAGTTCCTATCTCTGCCTAAGATATTTAGCTTAACTAACTGCACAAATGAAATGTGCATGGGATCACCCTCAATTCTGGAGTCATACAGTGCTATTCAAAGTGATGGTCCAAAGCGAATGTTTGTCTGTGAGCAATCAGGTGTCAGTCCTTGGCTGGTTTCCAAGAAGGAATGGAAACAAATGTGCCCTGGGGAAAATGAAGGGAAAATGCTATTTCCTCAACTCAGATATGTTCATAATCCTCTGGGGCAAGGTGGCAATTGAAATAATGTTGCAAAAGTGCATACAAACTTTTGACAACTTTTTGATGACTTGTTTTTTTGATCCTTTTCAATTATAGTATGACCCGTCCCAGTGGTTGATAATATTCCTAGACTTGGCTGACACACAAAAGCGAAGCTAATAGCAAGCCTAACTGAAATGAAGGACCCCTGGGACCATGAATACCATAGAGTCATGTAGGATCTAGAAAATGCCCATAGAACATCCCAGTATTTTGTTAGACCTACATAAATGAAAACAGCGATACCTTTCTCACAGATATGGGGATTGTACTGTATAAACAGAACCCATACAATTGATGTGTGTTCTTTTCTTGACCTATTTCTTCATGTTCTCTAGACCTCCCATGAGGTTCTGCTATTATGTGCTGTTTTTTCTTTCAGTTGGCGGTTATTTAGTTTTTATTTATCTTTTCTATTGGCCAGAATGCATTTGAAACTTAAAAAAACAACAACCAGAGACTTGGATTCCACATTTGAAAGAGTGCTCTGCTTTCTAACCTGTAGTTGTCTAGTGTTTAGGTTACTATGTGGATTATATTAGCCCATACATATTGCGGCTTTACTAAAGAATCTGAATTAACTGCCAGTCTGCTACCAATCTAGGCTTCAATTGTTGGTACTAGCACTCAACACCAAACAGAACAAGTATGCAGCATTTCAAATGTTATCTTAACTGCAACTTCCAGCATTCCTCACTAATGGCTACACTGCCTAGGGCTTCTGTGGGGTTGTACACAGCCCACAGTTCCTATCATGGTACAAAGTCTGGATTACATCAAGAAATATGCTGCCTCTGTAGTATAACAGAAATGTAATATAATTGGCCTTCCTGCCCTGACACGGCAAATAAATAAATAAAAGTATAACAGTCTTCAATGCTAGTATGTTTAAAGTATTCATTTAAAGCTTTGTTTTTGTTTTGTCTTCCAGCTAACTATGGGCTATTATGATCTCTTGTGCACATTGTGTCACTGATTTATGCTGGTGTTATAAACCTGCCTCAATTGGTATAAATATTTCTAATAACATTTTATTTTATATAGAATTTCCCAGCACTACAGGTTAATGCCTCAGAGTACAGCATCTCAAAATGGTCACACTATACAAGTATTTTGTGGAAAAGCAAAATCTTGTTATGACTTGTGGATGGCACAGCAACTTGTATTTGACTATAGGAGCACATTGGATAGTTGGGCATTCTATCAGCAAGTACTTCCCAACTGTGTATCCTTTACCCGTATTGGATGACAACTCTCTATATCACCAGACTGGAGGACCACTGAAGAATATCTATCAGCATTGGTCTTAGTGGGTAGCTGCATATGATCTGTGAATAGAAGGAACCTGTGAGCAAACTATGGGGAACCAGATATCTTAACAAGCTCTTTAAGTGCTTTTAGCAGGGGGGTGGCTGACCACTATTCAGAGTAACTGATCTCATCTAGGAGAGCTACTCTTTTATTCATACTGGTGCATTAGGAAAGGTTTCATGTGTATTAGACCTTGCCTATAAACTGAAGTCACATTTAGTGCTGACATGCTAAAGTAATAGCAATCTCAACGAACCCAAGCCTATTTGACTTCATACTCTTTCAAAATTTGGATCTGGTTACATATCGGATATTGCAAGGAACATTAAATTTGTACATTTAAATTGCAGCAGCTTTTAATGAAGGTTTTAGCATGCTTTATAATGAGGCATTTATCACATCATACGTCAGCCTCATTAATGGCTACTATTATTCTGTGCTACCATTGCCCAGCAATACACAGACTTTCCTCTTAATTCTGCGATGTACTTTTGCCCTTGCAGAGATAAATCACATAGTATAATACATAACTGGAATGAAGAAAGCATTTGATATTCTGGGGTGTTGTGTAGTGTTTCATAGATATTAATAGGAGGGGTGGGGAGACCATAGCATTAAAATCTGGGCAACCTGACTCATTCATGTGTGAATACCAACAACCAAAGCAGAATTGTATTAAAACAGATTTTGTGTCAAATGCAGAATTCTTTTACACTATATGCTTTGCAAGGATTCTGATGAACACCCAAACCTTTAAGTCAAACAGAATCCCAGAAAGCAAGATATCTAAAGTGGGATTTAACAAGAATGCTGCAAACAGTTCTTATTATGACCCATTTTAACTGGAGTGATTGCATGAATGCATCACTGTGCATTTTTGCAAATTACTATGTGCAGTGTGTTCCAAGTGAGACAGTTACTAAATGGCAGTTTAATAAGCAACACAAGGCCTGCTGGCTCCCCGCAGGCAAGCACTGCCAATCACAGGCAACCTTTGGGACCAAGATGTGGGCCAAGCTTTCTCCCGCATCCTTTACTTGGTGTTTCATGCTTGCGGAGTTCAGGGAAGAGGTTTGCCCTGCCATTTCCCTTTCCATGTGCTAAATAAAGAACTGAAGCTGCCCAGCTAGCATCAAGCTTAATAAAATGACACTTGCTTTTAAGTAGGCAGGAAATATCACATTTTACACTTTTGCTTTTTAAAAGATTTTAATCCGACACATTACAATGCACACTTGTGTCCTTTTATCCAGAATTAACAGGATATCATCCACAAGATATGGAAAGAGGAAAGTTTATCCGCAAGTACCCCTTATTCCCATTCCCCTTAAACCAACAGTGTATTCAAGCCTCCAACTATTTCCAGCCCCTCCCCTGCCCTCCTCCCCCATTTGTTCCCAGGTGTGTTGAATTTTTATGGTGGTTTTTAACCGGTTAGAAACAAATTATCTGTAACAGTTTTCAATAGTGTATAAAACCAAGAACTAACTTGCTCAATGCATAGACAAACTATTGTTGACAGCAATTTAGAAACTGCAAAGACTGCAATGTAGGTGAATCACTTGTACTATATCTACTGTTCCCAATCAGTTTCTAAGCAAGCCCCTTTTTATTTGCTGCTGAATATTCTGAAAGAAAACATTACAGGTTATCCATTTGAGGAATGAACTTGAATGAAAGTAGCCTTTTAGAACCCCTCCCAAAAACAAGCCTTTAAAGTAAAATTAATAAACAAACATATCGTTCATCTACTCAATAAAAGCAATTAAGCTTTAACATTTAAGTAGCCCACTGAAATCTAGAAAAATTCTTGTTTACTGAGGTCCACTTATAGCAGGCCACTACTGTCAAGTGAGAATGCAAAATGGATCAAGGACTGCATTTAAATGACAGGTGTACAAGTTCAAGAGAGACAGGAAACGAGTGAGGTTCAAGCCAGGATAACTACAATAAAAGGTAGTTTTACTGAAATGGTGTATGGAAACGTATCAGAGCTGCTATCTAGTGTTATGCACAAAATGTGCAATTTCTATGTGCAGGTTTTAACCAAATAGTAACTTTAGGTATTCAGACCAGAAGATGGATGATCTAGGCACAAAGTAAAGAAAGTTTGGTCGCTGTTCCTTCGGTGTCTCAGCAACGGGACACAAATCACTTCTCACTTAAGTCACCCATGGAGTTAGCAGTCTTTTAAAGTAAAAAGCAAGAGGGACAGAACTTATGCGCTCTGAACCTGAGATCAGAAATTTGTGAATCACTCAAACTATGTTTTGAACAAATCTAATCAACACTGCTAGACAATAGATTAATTAGCAATAATTTCGTTCCTTCAAAGAAGCTTATTCACCACTCTCTTTCAAACAGGGAAACAATTTCAGTAGTCGTTTTACATGCTAATGCAGCCAGTGTGGCTGACTTGTCACAGGTGCATTTAAGAAGTTACATAATGAAACTTCAAAACAAAGATCAATTATTTCAGCTTGCTATAGTAGGTGTGATCATTCAGATCATGGACAGAAAAAAGTTCAGCTTAACTTTATTTTTGACAGCCTACTACCCAACATTTGGATTTAGTGAACTGCAAATAACTCCAGTGCATAAATCCAAGATACAAGTGTCTTTATGTCAATGAGTGGAATTTCCTAATGGCCGGTTTCATAAAGGCATCAAAACAAAATGGTCTGTAAAGAACATCCTTCTCCAAAGATACTAAGTACTGAAAAGATAACCAGGTTCAAAGCAAGCAGCATGTTGAATGAGAAATAATGTTGTCGTTAGGATGAACTCTGTTAACAGCAATGGTGTTACGAGTAATGACACTGCTTAGTTTTTGGCTGGGGGAGAAGTTCACTTGATAAGATTTTATAAGGCAAAAAAACAGAGGTACTGCAAGCAGATTTTCTCCAAGCATCTGACCTGTGATATTGTAAAATCAAAGTACTATTTTATTAAATGAGTTATTTTACATAATATGAACATCAATATAATTACAACTGTAAAAAATTTAAGAATGAACCAATTTTTGATTTCCAAGTAGGGCACAACTGTACAGTTACATAGATTTGTCTTTACATGAAGCCCAAGAGGAACAGCATAAAAATATGAATGTTTCTATAGCCCCTTCGGTTTTTGCTGATCAACAGTTTGTTAGAAAAGCAGCTGCAGATCTGTTATGCAATGTTTGACAGTAGAAGAGTCATTCGGTTCCATGAATTCACCTGCAATACAACAGCAATGTCATTACATGAAACTTTTGCATGATTTCATAGATATATTGTCATCCAAGAAAGAAATGGAATGGCATAGAATAATTAACCTCCACAAACCTTTGGTAACAGAGAAGGCTAAAGGCAAAATCAAAACACTGTATATAGTGGGCCCTTGGTGTCCACAGGAGTTTGATTTCAGGATCTTATGCAGGTAATTAAAAATGTGGATGCTGGAGTCTCTATTAATAAAATGACGTGGGGCAGCAAGGCAAGCCCTGTGGCATTATTGGGGCTTCCCTTGTTTCAAGGACCAAGGCAGTTGCCTGCTTCTGTCTTTAAGATGATGACTGTGGAGAGAACTCAAAGAATACATAAGGTTGCATGTGAAAGGATTTGTGAAATGGTGGGAGGTGTGAGGACTATGCTTGTATTCCCACTATTTTACAGTTCCTCGCAGCTCTCTGCAGCCTCACAAATACAGTACTTTATATGTTACGCTACTTGTGTTGTATATAGTCATGTATAGTTTGAAACCACAGCTGGCTGAACCCATTAAACCTTAACCTGCAGATATGACGGGTTCACTGTATATAGCATCTAACTGGCACACTGCACACTATCCATGTTGCTGCGCAATAACCATGAGTTAAATGTTAAAATATAAGAACTAGCACAATAAAATGAAGCCAAAAACCTACCCTTAAACCAAAGTTGTATTTCATTTTCATTACATTTCTAAATATAGTAAATTAAATACAGCTGAGGCAGAGATTTGCAGCCATTCTTCCATCACATTCACAGAATAATAAATTCAAATTAATAGAAACAATACATCATTCACCTGTGAAGTTCATGCCTGAACATCAGCTAGTTCTGGAGGGAGTGGAGTCTTCGGATGCTTACTCTCAAAGTGCTGCTTGAAGGTCTTGGGATCTGGCATCTGTGTCTGAATAGGGAAAGAAGCATGTTTTATACATAAAAAACCCACAGAGGCCTAAAGAAAACCCTCTATTGCTGAATATACAAGTTAAGCAATCAAATGGTGTTGCGAGATATTTTGTTAATCAGTGAATTATTTTAAAGGTAATAGTCCCTTCTCTGCCATTTCTTAAGTTTCCTGATTCAACCTACTAATCTCTATTTAAGTTTCTCATCTTTTCCAAAACTATGTATATGCTACTCCATATGCTACCTTTGCTACTGCTTAGCTGATATTTATTTCAGAAGCTAAGGAATTCAAATATACAGCTTTTTCAATGCTGTGGAATACAAAACTATGATTAACAATTTTTATTTATTTTGTATGTATGTGTTTTATTTGTGTCTTCAAAGCAGTCAATTTAAACTGGTTTTAATGTTCATAAAATTCTGGCATGTTTATTATAACATTTAAGGAAATGTTTGGTAACATTGGTTTTGTATTCCCTGGTTATGCTGTTAATTTAGATGTGCTTTTATTTTTCTACTGCAATTTAGAACTATTGTGGCATGCTGTTTATTGCTTATAATAGTGTTATTAACATGGAAAACCACATGTTCTTTTACGAAGGTTTAAATTAATACAGAAAAATATAGCATGCCCTTTTAGGTCTACATTGCATTCTCTCACAAAACAGATCTGCAGTAATGACTCTAAAGAACTGAGATGAAAGGCCGATACCAAGGAATGGGGTACAAAACAGTGGCTTAGTATACACACACTAACTATTAAGCAATAGGGTGCTCCTGAATTAGAACTTTTCCAGAATCAGGCTCACAAATAATTTTACTCATTAAAACCCCTCAAACCCTCCCTGCTTGTCTTCCAAGCTTTTTTTTTTTTAAAAGCAGTGTAATTTACGCCATTGACTGAAAGCTTTTTAGTGGCTCATACAACTGTGAGCCAGAAAGCTGTTTCTCTACCAGACATCATTTAGACCAGTGGTTCTCAACCTGTGAATCCCCAGGCGTTTTGGCCTACAACTATCAGAAATCCCAGACAGTTTAGCAGCCGTTGGTATATCTGGGAATTGAAGGCCGAAACATCTGGGGACCCACAAGTTGAGAACCACTGTTCTAGACTGAGATATACTCGTAGATCTTAATTTTTGCTCAACTTTGGTTTAAGAGACCTACTACTATGTACAAAGCATGGATGCATGCCTTATCTAGCACTTTACACTTGTTTTTAACAAGTTTAAATATGCAAGGGCTGACAATCCTATTATTTTATCGTCACTTTAAATAAACAAGTAGGACACCCACTAAATGCTGGAAACTTCTCTGGGATCATAATCTACAAAAAGCAGGTCTCTGTATAATTAAAGATCAATAGCTACACATGACCAATATACTTGCTTTGCTAAGTGTGTCTTGGCAGCAGCTGGATGAAACTTTACCTCCATATCACTCCAACCAATAGGATGCCCTCCAGATTTGTTGGGACTAAAACTCCCATTCTTTTAAGATATGTAGTCTATGGGATTTGTAGTCCCAAAAGTATGAAAGATATCAATCTGACTTAGATACTCAAATACATATATTCTAAATATGCCCGTTATGCATGATACTGACTCTTTTATTGCTTTTATCTCTTTTTCTGTTCTTACTGTATACAACCTTGGAAAACTCCAACTCGGGTATGGTTTATATCTAAGAAAAACAACACATCTGTTCCCCAGAGCCATATGAAATGTTGGTGTTTCCATTTCCTTCTTTCTGATATTTTAGCCTACCAATTATAAATCATTTATTATATTTTGTGTATTACATGTTATTATGTCCTATCAGGTCACAGGATTTCCCTGAATGGTACTGAACTGGCAAAAGTCACAGAGCACAAACATATCTTTTTGTCAAAGTGACAGTCAAATGGTTGCTAAATAACCTTTCTCATATATTACCAAAAATGCCTAGCAGCTGGATTTCAATCCTGGGAAAAGGAAGTGTACTCATACGAACAGAGAGGAAAGAAAAGTGGATTGATATAACACATATTTATGCCATAGAGCGTATTAAAATAAGAATTTAGACAGTGTTTCAATAGTACTCTTTCTCTATGCTTCCTATGAAGAAGAAACCTTTAGGGCAAGATAGACACTGATTGGGCATCCAGAGGCTACAATAGATCTCCTTGCCAAAGTTTTTTTAACCCCTTGCCTCCAATGCTTCTTTAATGCCCCACAAAGGGTATGGAGAGTAATTCTGGAACATATTAGGCCTTTGCTGAATAATTTCAGTCAGGTTCCACGTCATCTTACCCATACACTCCATGGGAGCATTTTAAAGCAACCATTTCCCAGAAAGAATATTTTCAGGAAAAAAAGTGGGAAGCTTCAGGCTACCAAGATTGCCCAAGGGCAGCAGGGGGAATGAAAGCCTGTACTTTCCCATCCTTTCTTTGGAGGACGTCCTCCATATGCAAAGTATTAATTCCCTTCCACATCTGGTCACTCTCTATATACAACTATGGACAACCTCTACTGGCCAGGTGTCTGCCTCCTTGTTTTTCATGCCGAGCACAACAGGAAGAGCTCCTCTTCCTTCCCACAGAGCAAATCGCAGGCACTAAGGGCACCATCCAGATGGAAACTTAGGGAGGAAGAGGGTTGGAGCAACTTAAAATGCCTGCTCCTTGATGCATTAGGGCTGGGGCCCTGATTCTATAGCGTACTGAACAGGAAATAATTCATTTCATTTTATCATTCCCCTTTTTTCTACAATGCAAAGCACAGAGGGTAACACAAGTGTGCATAGGTAGGTAACAGATGTGTGTTATGTGTCAGAGAGACAAGGAGAAGCAGATACAGACAGAGAGGTACATTCCTGCCATTTCAACAGTTTCATATTACAGTTTGAGTGTTCCTTATTCAGAATTCCAAAACACCCCCGAATCCCAAATCATCTATGCTGCTGTTTGAGATACTGACACCTTTGCTTTCTAATATTCAATGTACCCAAACTTTGTTTCAGGCACAAATTATTTTAAATATTGTATAAAATTACCTTCGGGCTATGTGTACTGGTTGTATATGAAACATTAATTCTGAGTTGGACCATATCTCTAAGATATCTCATTATGTACATATATTCAAATGCAGTTATTCAAAAACCCAAAATCCAAAACATGTTTGATCCCATGCATTTTGGATAAAGGATACCAAACCTGCACTGCAGTTCTACTTGCTGACTAGAAAACTTGGCAGAAAACACTTTTTACTCTTTAGAACTTCTTACCCTACAGACGGTGCATGTATATATTAAAGCAGCCTTAGCTGCAGCCTTCTGATCATGGCCCTGTTTCTTTTTCTGTCCAGCTTGTTTTTTGGCATTTTTCTGCTGTGACTGGATCTTCTGCTGTCCACGAGCCATATCTAAAAATGAATGCAGAACCATTATAACAAAACTGTCATCAACCATTTCATCCCAAAGATATTTATGCAGAAAGACAAGCTCCTGAACACATGTACTCTAATGTCAGTGATCCGGGATGCAAATAACTTTCTGCCCCATAAGTGATATAGAGTGCAACCTTAGAAGCTATGCTCTAAAGCAGTGGCTCTCTACATATTTGGACTTCACCTCCTACAATCTCTGAGCATTGGAAAAGATGGCTGGGTTTATGGGAGATGATCCTCCTGGTGATTCAAGGTTTGAGAACTGCTGTTTTAAAGCCGAGTGGGAAATACCATATCTAGTTCTCCAGATATTACTGATAATTCTCCACATAACTAGGAATTGCACAAGTGCCCTATCATTCTTCAAAAAAAAATGAACTCTGATTCTATAGGGCAATGCCACAAGATCCTGGATATATAGAATATTTTAATATTAGCAATAATAATTTTCATTTTGGAGGGTCAGTGAGAGAATTCAATTCCAGCAAAGCCAAGGAACAACTGACAGTTGCACAATTATTTTACAAGAAATATGATTATATTTATACCTCCTTCACACAAGCACTATATCCATGATTTACCCCAGCACTTGCTTATTCCTGCATAATGTTCTGCATTTTCTGATGTTCTATGACAGCCCACCATTTCCAATAATGTTTGGTTCCACCATTAGATTAAATGGACAGCAATACACATGGAACATAATAACTTCTTTGCTGAATTCCAAGAATGCAACACCATTAAGTACTTCAACTATACTAATGAATATTATAGCTCCCATTAAATATTTGCCAGCAGTCCTATGATAATAGTATCCCATTGCTCAATAATATAAGGGTGTGGGGAGAGGACTGACCAACAAGACACAGAAAGAGCTTCTCCCCTGTGAAGACAGGACAAGATAAACAAGCCGCTTTATTAAGTATAACTGTGACAGATAATAACAGCATCAGATAAACAGGGAAGCAAGCTGAAACTTGGCCACACATCAATATAAATCTAATTTGCAATTAATTAAATGCATATGTGTACTGATTACAAAATGGAGGGAAAACTGCAGGGAAAAGCAACTCAGTGTCTACCAGAAAGATCTTGGTATTGGGTTATTCCAGTTTTAGAGGTACTAATGCACTCTTAACTCTTCATATAAAATATATGGATAGCTGTGTTAACCATATAAAACATTCAAAAACCTATAATCAGACTGCAACGGGCTCATTTGTATCAGGATCTGTGATTTCCACTGGCTGCAGATTGTGTGTTATATTAGTAAACAGTGGTGATGTGAACATGGGCACCCTGGATTATTTGTGTTCACGCTACTGCCATGCAATAATATGGGGCATTATCATTCTCTCTTCTTCTTTTTGTATCAATGGTGGGTCCAGGAACAGTGTCACCAAGGACTCTTTGCCTCAGAGTGTGTTGGAAGCTCCTTTCTTGGAAGCTTTCAACCAGAGGCTGGATGGCCATCTGTCAGGGGTGCTTTGATTGTGCTTTTCCTTCATGGCAGGGGGTTGGACTAGATGACCTATGTGGACTCTTCCAACTCTATAATTCCACGGATATGGTGGAGTTACTATATTAAAAGAATATGTATTTTGTAATTCTTTTAATTACTCCCAAACCACGGAAACAACAAAGGTTGTTGTACTGGAACTCCCTTCCTCATTACTGCCTTGGCTGATTAGCACAAATGGTAGATAACAGCCCAACAATATATGAAGGGCCACATTTTCTTGCAACCCTGTTTGAATATATCTGAATGTTTAAATATGTTTCAAATGTTTCAATTTCAGGCCTGGATTTAATTTGAACATATTACATTTACAGTACACGAAAAACATTTGGCTGCATTTGAAGCCTCAAATATGTACTGTGGTTGTGCACTTCCCTGCTTTTTGTGCAAAGAACTTAATTACTACTTATTTTAATAAAATCACAGGCTGACTATTCAGACACAAATTAGTTATTTAAGAAAATAACAATAAGCCCTATCTCAGAAGACTAGAAGGCTCCATGATCACCAGCACTCAATCACTCATCTTCTGAAAAGCATCCCAAAAGTTAAAGCTAGCCTTTCTCAGTCATTAAAAAACAGAAAAGTACAACTATTGAGAACTTTGTACTGGATCCAGAGATTGAGCAGCTGTTACTTTCTATCCTAAATAGTCAGCCACTTAGCCCAGAAATGATCGTATCATGCATGTCTGTAATCAAAACAGAGGGTGGGAGTTTCAAAGAATTCGGGGGTTACTTTTCTGTCCTCTGAGGACCACATAAATTGCAAAAAAACAAACCAACAATGCTGAAGTACCTGTAAGTTTTTGAAAACTATTACTTTTATGTTAAAACTGAACAGCGAGTCCTGTGTAGGCTGAAGTTATCATTACTGGAGAGACAATTCCTTTTTATTTTGGCAAGAAAAAAAGACTGGCTGTAACATTAGGCCCTGAAAAAGCAGCCAAGATGCACCTTGCCCACCCTGATTTATCTGAATTACAGTCAGAAACTCAACTTCAAGTTGCCTTAGTTTCCATAATATACTTTATTTTCAAATGGAGACAAACTTTATTTTCTAATTTCTAGTCATATTCTCAACATAGACAACAGTTTATTTTTATGCTGCCTATCTTCACTGAGCTCTTAGCAGTTGTATGTAGTTTATCTTGTTTTAAAAAATCCCTAAACATCCTTATGAGATAGTTTAGGCAGAGTACACATCTGGTTACTGATTATATTCCATGCTTGGATAGAATTTGCATTAAGCTAAAGGGTTGCTCTTAGAAGTGATCCAGTGTTTTTCTTCTCAGCCTGCTCTCTTTGTTAATTCCTCATTATCAGTGGGGAGGGGGGCATATGAACCCAGGTGATGTAAAAAAGAATTAGTTTCAACTTAGTTCTGGACATCTCTGGATTGCTCTTTGTATTTGCATGTTAATACATAGCATGAAGTGAGAATACATTGCAACAGGAAATGAAAATGTTCATTGTGTGGTTAGTAAACTGGTTCAAAACGGAACATTGGCAGCTAACAGAAACTTCATCCCAAAATTTAATAGTGGCAAATAATCAAATCCTCACATCCAAAACATTTATTTATATATGCCTAAGTGCGACTTCCCGGGAGCCTGTTCATTTTAAATATGCACCTCAATCAACTGCTATGCCCCTCTCCCTTTATAACCATCCATGGATCACCAAATCTTCAGAGGCTTGTGGGACCTAGGAGATGGTGAGGGGGAAAATAGGAGTTTCTAGAGAAGTGTGAAATCCCACTGATAAGTCAAAATTGGCTTGCAAAAAGATGGATTTAAACTCACTGGTCTGTCAAAATCTTTTATTTAAAAAGTTGAGTTTTGGGGGAACTCTATGAAGAAAATCACTTATTTAGATTACGAAGGAGGGACTGAGAATGATGCGGCAAGAATGACTTTATCCACATCCATACATAGAATAAATCTGTTAATACCAATGTTTCCAGAAGAAAGTTTAATGTTTTACTATACTACCACATCCCACATTTTCTTCTAAAGCTATCAGAATCTAGAAAACCTACATTATTTTATAAACCATAAATGCAGCTTTGAGTATTTTGCCTTAATGTTTACATGTTCACAAATGTTTGAAGTTCTAACATTACAGCTTATCTCTGATACTCTTTTCATTTGCTTTTTACAACAATGCAATCTTTAAATATGCTTGATCCCAAAGCAGCTGTTGCTAAGGCTCCCTATTATCTACATGGTAGTACGCAGTTACCACAGATTAATCAAAAGGAGATAAACACTAGTGGGGTTTTTTTGGGGGGGGGCACAGCTAACCCAAAATGTACTCTTTGCCAAACACATCTCAACAGCTGCTTTGTCATACCTACAATAAGCTTATAAGTACATTGGTTCAAACAGCTGAGAATGTAAAAACAAGAAAATACAGATTGGACAGGATGTTCTTTTAACTGTAGATATTCTACTGATGTACGAAACTGTAAACCACATCCAGCCAGCAAAGCTACCCCTCCAAATCTCACAACTATAGCATTTGACACCAATTCTATGGAGCTCTATATACAGTAGCCTATGTTATCAGAATCATCCTAGTTTTCACCACTACACATATAAACATAATCCAACATATGGATCTAGTCCCAACACTGTAAACTTGAATGTCACCAAATACGTATAGGAAGAATCAAATACTTCACTGAAAGCATTCTTAGAAGTCAAATTCATATGTTCATATTAAAAGACATACAACCCTTTATGCTATCTAATATTTGGCATTCTTTAACACTGTAAGAAATATAAGGCTATGCAATTTTCAGGAAAAGAGAACTAAAAGTTGAATAGAACATTGATGGTAAATATATCTGTATAATAAGTTCATAAACACAATGCTGAAAACGCTGCCAAGCATACCCCTTGTGCAAGAACTTGTTTTCTGGGAGGAAATATCTAAATCTTCAGCCAGCCAGTGCATGTGACCAAGAAAAAAAAATGGCAACATACTTTAGTATCTCAGCCCTAGTACCAGCTGGTTACATATGTAACCAGTCACAGATTACCATTCCAATTCATTTGAACTCTGTAACAGGCCCTTATATATAATGTTCACTGTACTCAAGGAGGAAAAAACAACCAAAGGTGCACACACAAAACAAAAAACATACCACAGGGGGAGAGACTCCAGTCTGATTGGAAGCTGCTTCAGAAGAAATGAGAACAGTAGTAGTTTGAATTCCAGCAGGTGACTACAAGGCACGGGATGAAATAATACGTACAGAGAGCCAGGAATATATTTGGTATAAAACACTGAAGCACCAAATATAGCCCCATAAAATAAAAGTGGCTTGGTTGTGTACATCCATGTGCTGGAGAAACAAGGTAGAGCTTAACTACTGCGTAACAGCAAAAGCAGCAATTTTCAGAGGAACACCCCAAGAACCCGAATTCAGTGAAGGTTAGTGTTTCGCCAACTTCAACTACACAAAGTTAATAGCTATGCTGAGAAAAAGACAGACTGCATGAACACAACTTCACCCAAATGGCAACCTAAAATGCAGGAAACACAGCCTGCTGGCTATTGACACTTCATTTGAAAAAGGATTTTTAAAGGGTGCATCCACACTTTAAGCTGCATCCAGTGGTGCAGCTTGACACCACTTTAACAGCCATGGCTCATTGCTATGGAAGCTTGGGATTTGTAGTTTCACAAGACCTTTAAACAACTCTGCCAAACAGTGCTGGTGCCTCACCAAACTACAAATCACAGGATTCCATAGCATTGAGTAATGGCAATTAAAGTGGTGTCAAATCAGAGACACAGAGTGAAGAGGGGGCAGCATGGAAAAACAACTCCATCACTTGGGAGTCCCTCAATATACACAATATGATATATAGAAATAATAACATTGTAATGCAGTAATGCTAATATATTATATACTGCTAGTGTATTATATATTGTGGTATAATATAGTACAATATAACAAAATAATATTGTATACTAGATATTACATGTAATATAACTAATAATATCGCAGTATAGTAGGATAGTACAATAATAATACATAATACGAATATTGTGTTATGCTAATGATATATTATATATATAATATTAATATTATAATGTAATACAAATACAAAATAATACAAATAAAATATAGTAATATTTAGTAATATTGTAATATAATAATATTAATATATTAAATATGGTACTACAGGCAATATATAATAATATACAATTATATGCTGTTTTATTTAATTGCTTATATCACATTTTATCTCTCTTTAGTGAGACTCAAAGTGGCTCACAATCAAAATACAATAATATTTGTGTATTTTAAGTTGTAATGTTTTTTGGTTGTTGTAAGAGTGAAGAGAGGGGCCCCCCGGAAGACAGTTCCATCTTGTCTCCTGTGTTATGCTAATAATGAAATATATTATAGTACGGTTCCGGCAAAGTTTACCTATCTGAACGCATTCTCCCCTATGAACCATCAAGGTTGTTAAGATCTTCCGGAGGGGCCCCGCTTTCGGTTCCACCACCCTTGCAATTGCGTCTGGTGGGAACGAGAGACAGGGCCTTTTCTGTGGTGGCCCCTTGGCTACGGAACTCTCTCCCGATTGAGATCAGATCTGCCCCCCCCCCTCCTGACTTTCAGGAAGCTAGTGAAATCCTGGCTATGGAACAAGGCATTCCCTGAATGATGGCGGAGACTGGCAATTGACTAAAGTTATGAACAACATATGCGGACTGAATTGGACATGATTTTATCTTGATAAACTTGCTTTTTATGTATTTTAGTCTATATGTATTTTAATTTATTGTTGATGTACAATGTTTTAGATTGTATTGTTAGCATTGAATCCTTGCTGTTAGTCAGTCTGAGTCCCTCTATGGAGGTAGAGAAGATCGGGATACAAAAGTTTTAAATAAATAATAACTATTGTATATACATATAATATTTATAATATTATAATGTAATACAAGATAATACTACTAATAATATGATATTATAATTATATATTTTATATTATATGTAATATTACTAATAATATTACAGTACAATGGTATACTACAATATAACAATATATAAAACTGATATTGTGCTATGCTAATAATATAATATATTGTATGTATATATATATGTGTGTGTGTGTTGTAAGCTGTTTTATATTATAAGTAATATTACTAATAATATTACAGTACAATGGTATACAATATAATAATATATAAAACTGACATTGGGCTATGCTAATAATATAATATATTGTATGTATATATATGTGTGTGTGTGTGTGTGTGTGTGTGTTGTAAGCTGCTCTGAGTCCCCTTCAGGGTGAGAAGGGAGGCATATAAATGTCGCAAATCTATGTAAATAAAAATGTAATGTTTGTTTGTGGGATTAACATAACTCAAAAACCACTGGACGAATTGACACCAAATTTGGACACAATATACGTGTCAGGCCATCAAGTGACCATCACTCATAAAAACACTGAAAAACACAGCAGATGAGGCTCAAAAGGGGGGGGGATACATTACAATGCATATGCAAACCACACACACACACACACACACACATGTATATAAATGTCGCAAATCTATGTAAATAAAAATGTAATGTTTGTTTGTGGGATTAACATAACTCAAAAACCACTGGACGAATTGACACCAAATTTGGACACAATATATGTGTCAGGCCAACGAGTGACCACCACTCATAAAAACACTGAAAAACACAGCAGATGAGGCTCAAAAGGGGGGGGGGAAAATACATTACAATGCATATGCAAAACCACACACACATGTATATAAATGTCACAAATCTATGTAAATAAAAATGTAATTTGTTTGTGGGATTAACATAACTCAAAAACCACTGGACGAATTGACACCAAATTTGGACACAATATACGTGTCAGGCCATCGAGTGACCACCACTCATAAAAACACTGAAAAACACAGCAGATGAGGCTCAAAAGGGGGGGGGAATACATTACAATGCATATGCAAAACCACACACACATGTATATAAATGTCACAAATCTATGTAAATAAAAATGTAATGTTTGTGGGATTAACATAACTCAAAAACCACTGGACGAATTGACACTAAATTTGGACACAATATATGTGTCAGGCCAACGAGTGACCACCACTCATAAAAACACTGAAAAACACAGCAGATGAGGCTTAAAAGGGGGGGGGGGAGGAAAAATACATTACAATGCATATGCAAAACCACACACACACACACACATGTATATAAATGTCGCAAATCTATGTAAATAAAAATGTAATGTTTGTGGGATTAACATAACTCAAAAACCACTGGATGAATTGACACCAAATTTGGACATAATATATGTGTCAGGCCAATGAGTGACCATCACTCATAAAAACACAGCAGATGAGGCTTAAAAGGGAGGGGGGAGAAAAATACATTACAATGCATATGCAAAACTACACACACACACATATATGTACGCAAACACATACATACACACACACAAAGCACATATACACAGATTGGGCCACAGCAACGTGTGGCAGAGGACAGCTAGTAAATAAATAAGTCTTTCGGGCTGTATGGCCATGTTCCAGAAGCATTCTCTCCTGACGTTTCACCTGCACCTATGGCAAGCAACCCAGTGATTGCGGCCATGAAAGCCTTCGACATGGAGAGATAAAGCGGGATATAAATAAATAAAATGGGATTAATTCAAGTTGCAGTGTAGATCCAGCTTCAGTCGTAAACACGGCTGGGCCAAAGGAAGCCACCCCACCGCGTAGAGAAAACAAAGCCTACTGTGCCCATAGGCTTCCTCAGGAAAGGCCGATGCTTTCCTCTCACTCCAGCCATGAAGGCCGCAGCAGGAAGACTTCCCCTCAAGGAAGGGGAAGAGAGGGCTTTCTAGGCCTCGTCGAAACCCAGGCCTCTCCGAAGAGCCGTGTCCTGCCTGTCTTACCCGGTCTGAGGGAGTAGGCCGTCTGCCAAAGGCGCCCCTCGACGACGACGACGAGCCGAGGTTGGCTCCGCGCGGCCCAGCAGCAGCTGCCGCCACAGGCTCCGCCGCCCGCCGCGAGACGATGGAGCAGCTCTCTCTCTCTCTTGCGCGCGCAGTTCCCCCCCACCTCCGTCTTCCTGTCTGTTGGTTGGCCCCTCCCTCTTTCCGTCCTTCCTTCCTGTCAGTTTGCAACTGCGCGCGTGCGCGGCCCCGCCTCCCCCCGACGCGCCCGCCGACACCTTCTCCTGCAAGGCGCGCATGCGCACAACAAGAACGGCACCTCTTCATCCCCATTGCATAACGCGGGAGAGAGGGAGGGAAGGAGGGAGGAGGGAAAGGAAAGAGTGCGCATGCTCACAGAGGAGGAGGAAGGGACTAGTGTTCCTGACCTTATGAGGAAGAAGGGAGGAAAGGAGAGGAAATGGAGGCGGGCGAGCTGAAGAAAATGCCTGTCTTCCACACCATGGGTGCTACAATATAGCCTCTGCCACGCTTATAACTCTGGACCCTTCCACACAGTCCTACAACCCAGAGTAGCAAGGCACACAATCCCACCATATCTGCTTTGAACTGGGTTATATCAGTCCACACTGCCATAGATTCCAGTTCAAAACTCACTTCCCAAGGACATCAGGCATGCCCCAACCCTGGCAGTCTTTAGAATAATAGAATCAAAGAGTTGGAAGAGACCTCATGGGCCATCCAGTCCAACCCCTTGCCAAGAAGCAGGAATATTGCATTCAAATCACCCCTGACAGATGGCCATCCAGCCTCTGTTTAAAAGCTTCCAAAGAAGGAGCCTCCACCACACTCCGGGGCAGAGAGTTCCACTGCTGAACGGCTCTCACAGTCAGGAAGTTCTTCCTCATGTTCAGATGGAATCTCCTCTCTTGTAATTTGAAGCCATTGTTCCATGTCCTAGTCTCCAAGGAAGCAGAAAACAAGCTTGCTCCTTCCTCCCTGTGGCTTCCTCTCACATATTTATACATGGCTATCATATCTCCTCTCATCCTTCTCTTCTTCAGAACGAGAGATAGGGCCTTCTCGGTGGTGGCTCCTCGGCTGTGGAACGCCCTTCCTACGGACATTAGACTAGCACCATCTCTAATGGTATTCCGCAAAAAAGTGAAGACCTGGCTGTTTGAGCAGGCGTTCGAATAATTAGTGCAATGATTGGTTAATGAACACTGGAATGGAACAATGGATGACGAATCTGGAACATGTTTTTGATGACGAGACGACAGTGAATGGGTATTGTAGTAACTGTTTATTAATTGTGTAATGTGTTAGGTTGTTAACTGTTTTTATACTGTAGCACTGAATTTTTGCTGTTCGTATTTGTTGTGAACCGCTGTGAGTCGCCTTCGGGCTGAGAACAGCGGTATATAAGTAAGGTAAATAAATAAATAAATAAATATTGTACTGTTTTTGATTGTTTTAACTAGTTATAACTGTTGACTTTATATGGTAAATTTGTGTATTGTATTTTGTGTATTGTTGGGCATCGAATTGTGCCGTTTGTAAGCCGCCCTGAGTCCCCCCTAGGGGGTTGAGAAGGGCGGGGTAGAAGCACCCCAAATAAATAAATAAATAAATAAATAAAGATCACTCTGACCAAAAGGTCATAGGTTCGAAGCCAGCCCGGGTTGGAGAGGGTTTCCAACCAATTGTGTAGCCTGTTGTCGACCTTTGCAACCCGAAAGACAGTTGCATCTGTCAAGTAGGAAAATAAGGTACCACCTTAAAGTGTGGAGAGGCTAAATTAACTAATTTATGAGGCCATAAAAAAAGACTCCAGCAAAAGCATGCGGGGAATGCGGAAGTACTTCATCACTGTCGCAGATGGACGATGAAAGCGACAGCTCCCCTGGTGGCCAGAAAAAAATAGCCTCTGTCTATGTCTGTATATGTTATATGTCAAAAATGGCATTGAATGTTTGCCATATATGTGTACACTGTAATCCGCCCTGAGTCCCCTGTGGGGTGAGAAGGGCGGAATATAAAAGCTGCAAATAAATAAAAATAAATAAATAAATAAATTTATCTGCCCCAAAATGTACACAGTAGGGCTGGGCGGTTTCATTTCGTTAATTCGTAATTCGTTAATAATTCGTTAATTTTTTCAATTACAAAACGATAACGAACCATTCTGGAGCAATTATTAAAAAAAACGAATTTTCAAAAACGTTTTGTAAATGCTTCGTATTTCGATATTGTATTCGTTTCGTTATTGTTTTGAGGTCGTTTCGTTATTATTTCCGCATGTCTGGGACAGTTTTATGGTTTAATTAGTGAAAAAAATTATAATATCACACCAACAGTCAACAACAGAGGGAGAGGGAAGCTTCAGAAGGTTTTGGAGGTTTTTTAGCGTATTTCGCGGTCGCGTCCGCCATTAACGAATCGATTCGTTATTGTTTCGGAAATCGATTCGTTAATTTTTTACCATTTACGAAATTTCGTAAATATCGAACTTTTTAAAAGGAAAATTTTGTAATTATTTTAAATATCGAAACAAAAAAAAAACCCAAATACAAATCGATTTTAGAAACTTGGGCCCTCCAGGTGTTTTGTGTTACAGTAAGTTGTGACAAGATCAAATATGTGTGTGTTAAAGAAAACCTTATACCAGGGGGTCTTCTAACTAAGGCCCGAGGGCCAGATACAGCCCTCCAAGGCCATTTACCTGGCCCTTGTTCAGGGTCAACCTAAGTCTGAAACTACTTGAAAGCACACAGCAACAACAACAACAATCCTATCTCATCAGCCAAAAGCAGGCCCACACTCCCCAATAAAATACTAATAAGTTTATACTTGTTCAAATTGTTCTTCATTTTAATTATTATATTGTTTTTAAGTGTTTTTTGCACTACAATTTTTTTCAAATGATAATCCGGCCCTCCAACAGTTTGAGGGACTGTAACCTGGCCCTCTCTTTAAAAAGTTTGAGGACCCCTGCCTTATACTGTTTATTATGTGCAGCTGCTAATGTAGGTCAACTAGTAAGTTTGGACCACACCAGATAGGGTATAACTGTATGGGTTTTAGAATACAGTTCAACTTTTGCTCTGAGGAGCCTTTGCTCAGGCATTTTGCTCAACCATTTCTACTGCTCTCTCACTTGGATGATGAAGAAGAAGCCTTATTCTGTATTTCTTACAGAGACTATGTAAGTTTGTTGCACTGTTTGTTTTTTGTTTGCAACATTGCAAGTTTATGTTTTAACTCTCTTGATAAGAGTAAAGTTTTTCTGTTCCTTTTTCTCTTGCCTGGGTGCAATGTCATTGTGTCTTCTTCAATGGACCTGACTGAAACATGCAATGCGCAATGTTTTGGACTCCAAATCCCACAATTCCTAACACCCTTCAGGAAAAAGAAGAGGCCTTCTGCACTCTCTGTGGTCCCTTCTACAGTGCTATACAATCCAGATTATCAAAGCTTTGTCCTGGATTATATGAGTCTACACTGCTTTATAATCCAGCTCAAAGCAGATAATCTGAACTTCATATGGTAGTGTAGGTTGTTAGGAATTGTGGGAGTTGGAGTCCAAAACACTTGGAGGGCCCAAGTTTGCCAATGCCTGGGTTTGAGTTTATACAGTGTTTGGTATCCATTAGTTCAGCGTTTCTCAACCTGAGGCCCAGGACCCCTGGGCGAGGGGGGGGGGCTCAGGGGGGTTTCAGATGGATTACCAAAAACTGTAAGAAAATATATATTTCTGATAGTTTTAGGAACCCCTTTGGGAGAGAATTTATTTACTTCATGTCTACTCTGCCTTTCTCACCCAAAGAGACTCAAGGTGGCTTACAATTCTGGCAAAAAATTCAATGCCAGTAAAATCACTACTAACAAAAATTAAACAGTTCAGAGTGATTAACCTTAAGAGAAGGATATTAGAGGCAAAGATGAAGTACTTTGGCCGCATAATGAGAAGACAGGAAAGCTTGGAGAAGGCAATGATGCTGGAGAAAATGGAAGGAAAAAGGAAGAGGGGCCGACCAAGGGCAAGATGGATAGATGGTATCCTTGAAGTGACTGGCTTGACTCTGAAGGAGCTGGGGGTCGTAATGGCTGACAGGGAGCTCTGGCGTGGGCTGGTCCATGAGGTCACAAAGAGTGAGAAACAAATGAACAAATAAACAACATTAAGCAATAATAAAAAGTTAGAGAAGGCTGAAGATCTCTTCCTTTTTGGAAACAGCTGTCAAATCCTCTCACCAAAAGCCCTTCTCCTGCTGTGATTGGCTGGCCTCTCAGCTAAGGGGAGGGCTGTTCCTGAGACTCCACACATGCAGGGGAGAGCAGGTGTGCTTGGCGCATGGCAGTGTGGTGCGCATGTGTGGGCAAGAGAGAGCATGTGTGATGAAGGAAGCTCGCGCCAGCGAGTCCCTTAAAGGCATGGGGGTTCTGTGTGGGAAGCTTGGCCCAGTTCTATAGTTGGTGGGGTTCTAAAAGCCCTTTCTTTGTAAGTGAACTATACATGCCAACAACTACAACTCCCAAATGTCAAGGTCTGTTTTCCCCAAACCTCATCAGTGTTCATATTTGGGCATATTGAGTATTCGTGCTAAGTTTGGTCCAGATCCATCATTGTTTGAGTCCAGTGTTCTCTGGATGTAGGTGAACTACAATTCCAAAACTCAAGGTCAATGCCCACCAACCCCTTCCAGTATTTTCTGTTGTTCATGGGAGTTCTGTGTGCCAAGTTTGGTTCAATTCCATCATTGGTGGAGTTCAGAATGCTCTTTGGTTGTAGGTTAACTATAAATCCCAGCAACTACAACTCCCAAATGCCAAAATCAATCCCCCCAACCCCACCAGTATTCAAAGTTGGATGTATTGGGTATTTGTGCCAAATTTGTTCTAGTGAATGAAAATACATCCTGCATATGAGATATTTACATTACGATTCATAGCAGTAGCAAAATTATAGTTATGAAGTAGCAATGAAAATAATTTTATGGTTGGGGGTCACCACAACTTGAAGAACTGTATTAAGGGATTGCGGCATTAGGAAGGTCGTGAAACACCATTATCTTCTGGAACCAAACTTCAGTAGATACCAAGGATTAAAGACTATAGTAGTAGATAAATCTGCCAAAATTAAAAGGGATACTTTT